AGAGATCCGGGGTCCCGGGCCCGCCGCGCCGCACACGTGCCCGGGGACCCGCGGGCGCCGCCTTCCCGCGCTTTGCCTGGGATTCCACGGAGACTCGGGCCCCGCCGCCTCCTGCGCGCAGTGGTCACGTCCCGGGAAAGGTTGCCCTCATTTGCCCGGTCGTCGTGTCACGCCAGCTCCGCGCCGGGCAGGGAGGGCGGAGGCGCTTATGAATGGGAGACACTCGCAGGTTGTTGTGGCAGAGTCAGCGAACGTTTAGGGCCGGGAAGACAACAAAGTTGGAAGTCGTCTCCCTAAGCTGCCCCTTGTGCGGATCGGGATCCCGAGCCCTAGAGCAGGAGCTCCCGAGCCAGCTGCTGAGCGGCGAGACTGGTTTGCATCCCAGCGCCCGTGGGCCCCACCAGCTCTGGGAGCTCGGATGGCGGGCGCCAGCTTCGGCCTTGAAGCTGGAATCTTCCCGGAGCAATTCGTGTTACCTAGTGGGGAATGCGGCCTCCTCGGATTCTCCCACACGAGAAGTTAATTTCCCGAAGGAATGAAAAAGATACATGGTCGGCGCTGTTTCTTCTTGAGTCAGACTCCGGTGCAGTTTGAAGGAAGGGTCAAGGGACGCTGAAAGGATTCCGTTTTTCTCTTCCAGTTGGTACCGAAGGCTCACGAATCAGTTTAATTAACTCAAGTTGATCAGTCTGGCTGCCTCCACGCCCCATGCCTCTTTCAAGCCAAAGCTACTCGTAATTTGAAACAGATGCCCCTTCTGAGTTAATCTGTTAGGACTGTTAACTGTTCTAATAATTCTACAAGTAGTTATTTGTAGGAGTTGATGTGTTTGTTTGACTTGCCTGAAAGGGTTGAATTCGCATTGAAGACACAGTACCATCTGCTGTGCCTCTTCTAAGAAAGAAATGTCCACCCCCCAAGGGAATGAGATGCATTGGATGTGCCCTGTGACTCCTTTCCCCGCTTGTCTCCATTTTCCTCTAAAATGCAGGGTTGGGTGTTTTGTTTTCTCTTTTTGGCCAGGTGGGAATACTCTGCTTGATAGGAACAGACTCAAAAGGCAAGACTTGAGTTGAATCCTGTCTCTGCCACGGAGTTATTGTATGACCTTGGACAAGTCCTTGTCTTCCTCTGGACTCAGTTTTCCATCTGGAAAAGGAAGAGACTGGGTTAGGACCCTGATATCCTTCTCTAGATACTGGATGGTCACCGTCTTATCAACCTTAGTAATTGGTACTGCCTCTCCAGGCCTATCAGTAACATAAAGTCAGTGTTTTTACATCTAATTGTATGTCTAATTTTAGTTGCTTTATTAAATAGTGTTCTTTTGTTGTTGCTGGTTTTAACATTTTTTGTAAAGATTCTTGGTGTCTAGTCATTGACAACGTGCTTCAAGTGGTTAAAAAAATTCTTGGTGGCTAAAATTATTCTCTGCTGCTGATGATTAGGAAGATGTTGGTATTCATTAGTCATCCAGCCTGCCCACCCCCCCTCCTCTTAGAGGTGACCTGACTGGGATCACACAGGTCTTCAGTATGATGGATAAAAAGCATTCCTTGTTATTCAGGCGTAAGTCAGTGACATAGCTTGAAAATCATACAGAATTGGTTTCTGTATTAGTTATTTTAATATTCTATGTGAATGAAGCACCTCTCCTTTTCTGGTCAATATTTATTAAGTCCATGCCTTGCCAATGGTTGATTTTTGTCTAAAGTAGAGGAGTAGACTCTGTTTTTCCCACACTTCTAGGCTCCAGCTCAAACCTACTGAATCAACATTTCCAGGAGAGCAGCCTGGTTATTGGAATGTTTAACAAGTGTCCCAGGTGATTCTTATCAAGCAAATTTGGGGCACAATGGACCCAGGGGTTGCTTCTCATAGTATGGTTAATAGCCAGACATTATCAACTTCACCTGGGAGCAGGTGAAGGCAGGCAGCATTTCTGGTCCCACTTGAAGCCAATCACATCAGAATCGGCCTTTTAACAAGGTCCCCAGGTGATTCGTGTGCACGTTTATGGTTGAGAAGCTCTGGGAGGCCTATGATAATAGTAATGTTTGGTGCTGTGCTTTGTAGTTGTTCTAAGAACTCCTAGTGCGTGTTCACAGTTCATCATCGTATTTGTCCGATGTGGCTATTTGATTGCTCTCGTATTATAATGATAGTACTTTTATTTTTCACCTTGTATAGGCGGGGACCTCCAGCTGTAGGGGCCCAAAGGGCCACCATACCAGTGGTAGAGCAGGCATTCAGACCCAGGCGTGTGTCACTTGGCCGAGCTCCTAACCCATTCCTTTCCAGAGCTACTGTTTTGTGACCTTCTCTTAGGGTCTCAGGCCGCTGTCTGAATTTGGAACAGAACCCAGTGGATTGATGGTTTAACTTAGGCCTCTGAAAAACTGGTTTGATGGGGTTTGGGATGTGCGGTTGGCTTGCTTATTTGGTATTCGTTTCTTGAGGGTTTCAGAAAGATTGGTTGAAGTGCCCTCACCTGTGGCTGTAGCAGTGATACGTGAGCAAGGTTTTTGATCTGTGTGCTTTTTATGGGGAGGTGGTGGGCAGGGAGAAGGGGAGGCTGATCACTAAGCTGCTCTGACAGCTCGAGCCCCCTCCTTTGGAGCAACGTAGAGACAGTTTCCCGGTTCCCTGAAGTTCAAGTCCAGTAGCTAGGCAGCAGGCCTAGAGAAAGGGGGGCTGCAGAGGCCCAACTGATGGTGAACTCTTGCCTCCTTCTAGGGATATGAGGTGCCCATTGTAAGCTTGTGAGAGTTGCCCTCCGCGGAGCCCAGCAGAGGAGTGGGCAAACATGAAATCCAATCCTGCCATCCAAGCTGCCATTGACCTCACGGCGGGGGCCGCAGGTAATCCCAGAGAAAACCTGTCCTTTGTTCCTCAAATACCTTCTGCAAGTGAGCTCTGGTGAAGACATTGCCTTTGTAGCTCCAGAAGCGACATGCTTTAACCCTGGAATGAATCCACTTAATACAGGTGTAATACTGTGTTGCAAACACAGCAGAAGGTAGAGTAGGTCCCACTGTATTAGAGCTATGAGGGTATGGTGTGGGAGTGTCCCTGAGTGACAGCTGGAACACATCACAGCTCAGAGCTGAAGCCATTCATCCATTGCCATGTGGCTGGGATATGCAGGATTCCACCCCAAGCCTGGCAGTCTTCAGAGGTCTTAGAGTGCAAAAATAACACTGTGCCATCTCTCCAGGGAAATCCCAGTTACTGTCCTTACAACTGCTGGGGGAGAGAAAGGATACCCTTAGAAATGTCTTTGGTAAATCAGGCTGATTTTGACTGTGTCTTAAAGCCCTGAAAGGAGGGGCCCCAGGATTGGCTGGGGAGTGGTTGGCGGGGGCGAGTGCTGGGGCAGACTCCGGCCCCACTAGGCACCATCGAGTTCTGGGCAGCACCTGCCACCGCAGGCCACTCTTTAGAAAGGTCACCTTTATTCAGCCTGAGGCAAGTGACAGACTTGGAAGTGCCCGGGTGGTTACTTAGTTCTCCAGATTCCTGGATGATTCTAGGGCTGGAGGAGCGCTGGAATGCCCATACTTCCCAGATGAAGACCCTGGCTTACCCTTGCCTCCCTCACCGGTTCTTATATTGGGTCACCGCTCCTTGGAGTGAAGAGGCCAGGGGAGCGGGTTGCCCATTGTCCTTTTATCTGGTGGGACCTCCTGGGTCAACAGATCAAGAGCAGTCAGAGCCGCCTTCTCTCATGCTGTCGTCTTTTTTTTTTTTAATATTATTTGGTTGCATCGGGTCTTAGTTGCGGCTCACGGGCTCCTTAGTTGTGGCATGCGAACTCTTAGTTGCAGCGTGTATGTGGGATCTAGTTCCTGGACCAGGGATCGAACCTGGGCTCCCTGCGTTGGGAGCGTGGAGTCTTCTTTTTTTTTTTTTTGCGGTACGCGGGCCTCTCACTGTTGTGGCCTCTCCCGTTGCGGAGCCCAGGCCCCGGA